GTCCTCCCCGATGATCTTCTTTTTCGAGGCTGGGACATTGCTTCCATAGGGGTTTTCACCTTCATTCGGTGACTCGGGCTCTACGGTCGTTTCGATTTCTGTATTCGTGCCGGTGTATTCTTGATTGCCACCAATTTGCTCCTCACTCTCCTCTTTCCTTCCCTTTCTATCCTCTACGCCTCCTTGAGTGCTACTTATTACAGTAGAGATTTTATGATCCACATCATATCCCTCATCACCGCCGTGTTCTTCTGATGCGACTTCTTTCTCAGCAGCATCTTCATGCGATGCAGGAACAGATTCTTCATATGGTTCCGCCGGAGCAGTTGTAGTGGGTCCGGATTTACTGGTAGGCGGTACCGGTGAAGTCGACGGAGGTGAAGGAAGTACAGTCGAACGCGTTTTGCCTGAAAGTGATTTATTATATGGAATCTCTCTCAAACATAGCGGATCGTGGAAATCTGGTACAAACTGCTCTGGTGGCGTTAACCCTTAACGAGGTTTTTTTTACTGAAATCGAGACGGGACATGGAAATCGATCAAGCGGGTTTTGGTGATGGCATATTCACGGACAACTTCACGAATGAGTTTCCTACTTCAGAGACCACAGTGTAGATATTGCCCTTGGATTTCTTCAGCTATTCCCTGGCAGCTTGAAGAAAACAACGAGGAAGTACAGGAAGATTCTGTTTATTGCAAGAATATCCTCATCCCCATACATCACGCAAGTAATTGATGGGCAGGGTTTATGCATTGGAAGGAATCCACGAGTTCTGTATTGTACACAGAGACATTTAAAGGCAGCGATGACGATAGGTTCAGAGTAGACGTGGTGGTGCTCAATGGAGCGTCGATATCGAAAAAAGCGGAGAAATCCGCGAAAAAAAATGCAAAACGGGACCCCCTTTTTTGGCCGTTGGTTTTCACCCATGAACAGGTGATAGCTCAAAGCGGGCATATGACCGGCGTCATACGCCCGCAGCGCGTTTGGCAACGCTATGACAAACTACATTCCAATGGAGTTGTCCAGTTGTGCCGTTGCTGCCCGTCC